TATTACCTGCAGTGTTCCCTCAATGAGGACTGAACTTGGCAAAAGGGTCTTCTCCTACTCCACTCCTGTTTCTTGGAATGTTTTGCAAAAAGATCTGAAGCTCTCGACCTTGACCTCTCTAAGTGGCTTCAAACATCTGATGAGTTCCGGGCAAAAACCAATGCAGACATGTTCCTGGTTTTACTTTTCTACACCGCCCTACAATCTAGCTGTTTTTTTTTTGTTTTTTTTGTTACGTTTTATTTTCACTTGTTAAAAAAAAAAAATCACAATTTGTGCACATCCTTTATGATTGTCCACTGTTGTCATCGCTCTTTGTTAAAATCAGGTCTCTCTTGTGAATGAGTCCCAGAGGCTCAGTGGGGTTAACCTGTATGAATAAAGGTTGAATGAATGAAATTCTCTCAGTCACACCTATAGAGTTACAGCCTAACATGCATGTTTTTGATAAATGTAACGATCTGTGGGAGAAAACCCACACATGCACAGCGAGATGCAAACTCCATCCAGAAAGGCTCCCGGACCAGGATTTGAACCAGGGCGACCTGCTTGCTGAGAGGCAGCATCTGATATTACATATGAGTGGTAAAATTATGTGAACCTCTAGGATTATCAGTTAATTTGAAAGTGAAATTAGAGTCAGGTGTTTTCATTCAATGGGATGATGATGATCAGGACAGCACGATGGCGCAACTGGTAGAGCTGCTGCCTCTCAGCGAGAAGGTTGCTGGTTCAAATCCCGGTCCGGGGGCCTTTCTGGGTGGAGTTTGCGTGTTCTCTCCGTGCATGCATGGGTTTTCTCTGGGTACTCCAGTTTCCTCCCACAGACCAAAAACATGCATGTTAGGCTGATTAGTAACTCTAAATTGTCCCTAGGTGTGAGTGAGAGAATGAATGGTTGTTTGTCTCGTTTGTCTCTATGTGTCCCTGTGATGGACTGGAGACCTGTCCAGGGTGTCCCCCGCCCCTCGCACTGTGACGGCTGGACATGGGCACCGGCGACCCCCGTGACCCAAAATGGAAGAAGCGGGTAAAGAAAATGGATGGATGGATGGATGGATCTATCAAAGTCTGCTCTTCACAACATGTTTATAGAAGTGGATCATGGCAGGAAAAAAGGAGATTTCTGAGGAGCTCAGAAAAAAATTGTTGATGCTCATCAGGCTGGAAAATGTTACAAAACATCTGTAAAAGTTTGGACTCCACCAATCCACAGTCAGACAGATTGTGTACAAATGGAGGAAATTCAAGACCATTAATAAAGTTCATGTTTTGGAATGGATGGTTGATGGATGGTTGATGGATGGTTGATGGATGGTTGATGGATGGAGTAGTATAGGGCAGTTGTTGCAGTGTAATGCGCACATTTGACGGCAAACTGCGGAAACTCCCGCATCATCTGCCGCACAGCGTCTTTCAACTAGTGGGGTCTAGTTTTTCGGGCGGACGTGCTCGCTGCCTTGGAACATTCTCTCCACTGTGCGTGCTCGTGTGTGTGTGCGTCGGTTATGTGTGTGTGTGTGTGTGTTCCTCGGTCTGTGTTGATGTCGCCTCGCTGCCACCGACTCTCACGGTGAACCGACGGGATAAATAGAAACTAAAGCAGCCCGGTGATCCGCCGCCGCACGCCGACCTGTCCGCTTCCATCGGGCCGGAACGATGAGCCTGCATCGAGCGGACGAGTTCAAGCCTCCCCCGGAGTGCCCGGTGTTCGAGCCTAGCTGGGAAGAATTCCGGGACCCGTATGCTTTTATCAATAAGATCCGGCCGATCGCGGAGAAAACGGGGATCTGTAAAGTCCGGCCGCCTCCGGTGAGTCTGGAGAGTCGCTGCGGGAGGTTAGGAGGGCGCGGAGGCTGAATTAGTCCGCTGTAGTCGGCCGGAGCTGGATTTAAAGGGACGGTTAAACATGGCGGACAGTCTTTGTGCTGCCAGCGCTCTCTCCCCCTCCATTGTTCAAGTCATACCCGCCATATGTTGTCCCCTTCCAGCTCGTTAGTGGTCATTTATGGACCCGGGGGGGTTTAAGGTGCTTTACATAGTCCGGCTCCCCGAGAGTCCTCGAGCTCCGGTGGTGTCTGAGCCTCGGAGCTAACAGGCTAACAGGCTAACTGTCACAATGAGCCGCACGACGGAGAAAACAATATAATCAGTCATCAATGAGACCAGCTCAACACTGTTATTATCATTATTAAATGGACCAGCTCAACACTGTTATTATTATCATTAAATGGACCAGTTCAACACTGTTATTATTATCATTAAATGGACCAGCTCAACACTGTTATTATTATCATTAAATAAACCAGCTCAACACTGTTATTATTATCATTAAATGGACCAGTTCAACACTGTTATTATTATCATTAAATGGACCAGCTCAACACTGTTTTTATTATCATTAAATGGACCAGATCAACACTGTTATTATTATCTTAACTGTGACCAGATCAACACTGTTATTATTATCATTAAATTGACCAGCTCAACACTGTTGTTATTATTATCATTAAATTGACCAGCTCAACACTGTTATTATTATCATTAAATGGACCAGGTCAACACTGTTATTATTATCATTAAATTGACCAGCTCAACACTGTTATTATTATCATTAATTTGACCAGCTCAACACTGTTATTATTATCATTAAATTGACCAGCTCAA